GTTGATATTTTGTTTGTTTTGATATCTTCTTTGATATGTTTGTTGTTTTACTTGTCTTTCGTCTTTCTTAAATTCCATGCTAAACCACCAACACCTCGTTCCAAACGTAATTTTTGAATGTTTTTCCATCTTTCTCATCAGTCTCCATGCCCACTTTAATGAAAACTAAATAATCTACTTCTATTTATAATGAATAAATTATAAGACATGAAAGGATAACGTCATCTCCAAACGAGTAGGTGACATTTAAAACAGGGATAACATGAGTTATGACATCCTTATGAAAGGAGATCACCGTAACTCAATAATGAGCGACATTTTGGCCCAATGATTTAGAACAGTCTTCTAGATGTGTAAATACCGCGTCAAGGTGAGGCAAGGAAGCAATCTTGAAAGGTGGCAAAAGCAAAACGCAAGATGAAAAGTGAGTTAAAACAAAGTTCAAAAAACCTATACTATCAAACATTTTAATAATTAAACCTAGACTATCAACTTGCAATTCTGTATCAACTCAGCAAAAACAGATATTAGTCGTAAATATCATCAGTTTTGCCAACTTTCAAGATAGCGGCTTGCCTCACTCGTATTCATACAATATTGGTGGAGTCAGATATCTAGTAGATTGGGTTCTAGGTCATTGCTCAGGCATATAGCGTTGAGAAGAAGTTCCGAGGTCGTTCATCCCGGTCGTAGTTTTATTCTGGTGTGTATTATCCGAGGTGGCGTTATATTTGTTTACCGAACAATACAGACAAACTTCAAAAACATTGGCTTTTTATTGGCCTTTCAAATTTGTTATCAGATTTAAATTTTTTAAAAAGGGCCACAAAAAAATTCTTTTCAAATTGTGGAAACAAATAATTTCAGCTTGAACAATTTACGTTGTATTCAAGGACTGCATGTCTTACCATGGAACACTGCACCTGCAAGACGGTTAAGAGCTGACCTTGAAATTCAAGATATACTTTTTGAATACAATACTCTTGTTTTAAGTCGAACCTACTTCATCTCTTATCAGCTACAAAGCTTTAACATCGCCATCAAACCTTTGTTGTATGAGTTCATGAAATGAACCGCTATTGGCGTTTTAATAGATTTCGTCTTCAACTGTATGTCCAACTTCGTGCAAATATATTTTTACAACATTCCCATTGGTCGCGTGTGGAGGAAGTATTGGAAACGTTATTTGTAAGCCAATGTAATGGCCATGTTGGTGATTATTGCTAATTTCAACCGAAGTTTCTAATCTGTGTTTCGATCGCATTTTGATGATTCTGGAGCGAGCTTTGCAAAGTTCTTTAGGAGAAGTTGTTTGTTGTTTTAGTTAAGGATTATACTGCAATTTTACTGTTTGATATGTGAATGAATCTAGAAAGGCAACCTCGCCGCCATCTTTTCTTAATATTGAAAGTAGTTTTTGTAAGATTTTAAAAATTCATTTTAACAACGATATACGTACAGTAGTGTAGCACAAATCGCCATGATAGGTTTTACAACTCAGTTCTTCTGGTTATAAGAACCAGGTAACCTGCGAGCACAAATCGCCATGATAGGTTTTACCACTCGGTTTTTCTGGTTATAAGAACAACGTAACCTGCGAAACTTCACGGGTTACTAGTCGTTTCTTGAATGTATGCCACTCTAGATTAAAGAAATGCCATTTTCAGGCACAAAATTATGGCAGCAACGAAAACAATCAAAACACGGCTGTTCATTTTATATCGGGATACTTGAAATTCACTTAAAATAGATTAATAGAGTAAAAAAAAACAGCTAATAATTCCTTTTGTCAAACACAACAAAACAAAAAAAAATCATCCCTTCGCCCAAGTGTTTAGCAAAATGATTACGGAGTCCGGACCACAGTCACTGAGGTGTCGTAAAATTCCACCCTCAGCTACAGAATTCACTGAAGAACTTCACTGAAGTTTACGTAACCACGTAAACTTCAAAGACAACTTGGCAACAAACAACAGTAGACTGTTGAAATAATTTCGCCATTGTAGACATCTGTAAATAATGTTGATGTTTAAGATCAGAGCCATGTCCATAACAGTTAAAAGAATGACCTCTAGGAGGTTGTGAATCGTCATGCACGTACTTTTTGGAAGAAATATGCAAATGTTTCTAGCATTTTGCAAGTTTGCTGTGTTCTGAAGTCCTTCATTCGTGATCTCCGAAGTTAAAATTTGATCATTGTATTCATTTATATCCATGTCATCGTCGTATTCTTTGTTAATATAGCTACGATGTAAATAATTTATTTGCGAGTTCTTTGAATTCAAAATCCGTCTATTCATGTCTTCAACTTTTGGGATTGACAAAGTCAATAATCTTTAGCAGGAGTTTCTAGAAGGACTTCTGACGTACTTTTGTTAATTGGTAAAAAGTTTTGGCTGCATGTACAAAATATTAACAAAACACAAAATAAAAAATTTCCGCGAAAAATATTATTCTAAATTATGAATCCCAGATAAAACAGCACAACAGTAATGAGACTTGCATAGTGATTAGTAACTTTACGATAAGAAGAATGAGGTCACTCTTACTTTAGACTGAATGGGCGCATCGTCTTTTGAACTTTTTTTTAAATACTAGTAAAGAGAAAGTCTATATAGTCAATGCCTACGAACAAGTGCTAATTCAGATAGGCGAACCACGTTTAAATAGGAAATTTATAATTTTAATTAACTTATTGCAGCGTTGAATAGAATATAAACTGAACATTATATGTTTAATTGTACTTGTTCCCATGATTTCTGCCTTATCTGTCACAAATCAACGAGTCACATTAATTGTGCGTAAAACATAACAATTATTGAGAAAATCTATTAGATATTGCTACAACCATGTACGAAGTGCTTAGTTCACCCTTCAAATAACCCTCAGGGAACGAGGAGGCCATATCTTTTTCTCCAGTGTTGCCAAACAAAGTACCTGAACTGGTGAACCGCATCAATAAACAATGGGTTAATTCATCTCAATTTCAATTTAGTCATCACTTGAACAAATTTAAAATGCTTGAGGAGATAATCGCGTTTTCCTTGTCGCTTTGCTCGCTTTTTACTGCAGATTCACCAAGAGTTAGTTCTAACCGTGAATCTGCACTCGAAAACGTGAATTTCGAATTTGAAAGAATTGAAAATGATACACCAAACACTTTCATCAACAAAGAATACGACGACGATATTCGTGATGAAATATTTAAAATTTCGCTTGTCTCTCAAATCAACATGTGATAAGTTTTGAGGACTGTGGAAATAAAGGAAAAGTTTGGAAGACTTTATGGAAATGTTTGTGGACGTGCTTAAATATCATTGCAGCCTCCTTCATTCCTATTGTATTCTTCATAACGCTTGTATACGTGTCAATGAATACCGCCTACACTTGTTTGGAATGGCAAAGTCACAACAACAACACATTACCGTTATCTGTAAAACGTGCTCACGTTTTTGGTCGTTGCGTGGAGTCGTTTGTATTATATTTATGGTTTCCATTGACAATGATTATATTATTTGGATGGAAAGAATTCAAAACAAAGTTTTATCAGCGGTTTATGTTGGTGTCATATTCGGAGTTGGTCGTGATTTATCACTTGATTTCATTTCAGTTCAATGTTTACGATGCACATAGTTACTACAGAATACCTCCAAGTGCAATATTTTGTCTCTCGATATTATGCTGCGCACTGGTAGTCATTTACCACATCCGAGTTAGAGCACCTTCCATTTCATATTCTAAAGGTCACGTTATTGCGCTTGTTCTGATTGAATTTATCTTTGGTACAATACTTACTTATCTTTACATTTTTTTAATCATCCCTGCATTCAATAAAGTTCGTCTAAACTTATATAAATTTTTGATTGCCACCTCGTCACCATTCTTAGCGCTCATTCCTACAGTGTTGTGTGGGCATATGGCGTTGAGAAGAAGTTCAGAAGTCGTCAATCCTGGTCGTAGCTTTGTCCTGGTGTACATGATCCGAGGTGGTGTTATATTCCTTTATAGAACGATGCAGACAAACTTTAAAAGTATTTGGCTTTTTTTTGGTCTCTCATTGTTCTCAGCCGTTCTCAATTTCTTAAAAAGGGCAACCCAACAACTTCGTTATAAAATATGGAAACGAATAATTTCAGCTTTAAATAATTTACGTTGTTTTCAAAGACTGCAAGTTTTACCATGGAATACTGCACATGCGAGACGGTTAAGAGCTGACTTAGAAATTCAAGATATACTTTTTGAATACAACACCCTTGTTTTGAGTCAGGCCTACTTCATTTCATATCAGATTCAAAGTTTTGACGTCGCCTTTGAACCATTGTTGTATGAGTTTCTGAAAAGAATTGGAATTGGTGTTTTAATAGATTTCATTTTCAACTGTTTGTCGAATTTCGTGCAAATGTATTATTACAACATTCCAATTAGCCGCGTGTGGAAGAAGTACTGGAAACGACATTTATTGGCTAATATATTTGTTGTGTTCATCATTATTGCTGAATTTAGTAGAGAACTGGAGTCCGTGTTTCGATCACATATTAAACAGTCTGAGGAGAGTTCTGTAAAGTTTGTTGTCAAGAACTGTTCGTTCTTTTAGTCAAAGTTGAATATACCTGTTTATTGTGTCTATATTTTTAACTTTTTAATTTGTTGTCAGATGACCAATCATTAAAGATTGAAGCCTTTAAGTCCACGTTTCTTGTCAAAAAAATCGTGATCTGATATTTATCAATTCTGGCAGATATAGAAAACTATGGGTCCCCCTAATAGGGACACACATTTATCCAAGTGCCCTGCGCGCTGCAAGTCCCTGAGTATTGTACATTCATTGGGTCGCACAGCCTAAACGTTCTGTTGTGCGGATGCTGGATCACGATTCAAGACACGATGGAACTGTTTTTAATTTGAATATTGAGAAAGATGCTTCTCTTGTTTTTATTGTTTATCTTCTCATACACTATTTTATACTGACAATTTTACATCCCTATATTATTATTGACATCACACAAACACATATCACGAACAAACATTTCATTTCACAACAGATTGCGAATGACAACAAACTTTGCAGGTTGAATAAGTATACCTTTTTATTCAATACTTCCCGTTCTCAATTGCTCGTACAAAATTAAATTGATAAGGTTTCGAAAGACGCTAAATCAACAAAGAAATTCTTTCAAAAAAATTTACATCAAAATGGATCCTTGCATGATTAACACTTCAAAGACGATTTCCGTGAGAACATTTGCACAAGAGTACAGTACTAGAGGGACATTAAAGCACAAAGTAAAGCGTTGCTGCATTCCTGCATTAATTCGACTCGCTTTAAATAGTAAAGTTTTCTGATTTCATAATTCTTCTTATTCACGTTCGATCGTTATCGCTATGCTAGAGGAAATAATTGGGTTTAGTTTATCGATTTTTTCACTTTTCGTAACCGAAACGCCAAGAGTGTCTTTACCTGCCCAACATGAGCAAGAGAACGCGGGTACTGATGGTAATATACATTTTAGACTAATGGAAAATGATTCCAGAAGTAGATATATAAACAAAGAATATGACCAGTCAGATTTGAACGACGAAAGTGAAATCTTCATGGCTGATGGAAGTCAACTTGAAACATGCTGCAGTAACATGCAACATTCCAGAAACTTTACATCATCTTTGTGGAAAAGTTTATCAACAAGTATCAATCTCACGTTTGCTACCATCTTGCCAACTCTTTTTGCTTTGACATTGGTGTATATTGACACGAATACCACCTACAGCTGCTTGGCATGGCGAAATCACAAAAACAAGACATTATCATTATCTGTGAAACGTGTTCACGTCTTTGGTGATTGCGTGCAGTCGTTTGTGTTATATTTCTGGTTTCCATTATCAATGATGATGTTATTTGGATGGAAAGAATTTAAAGAAAAGTTCACATCTGCGCTTTATGTTTGTGTCATATTCGGAGAGCTGGTCGTTATTTATCACTTGATTTCATTTCAGTTTAATGTTTACGATGCACATAGCTACTACAGAATCCCTCCAAGTATTTTATTTTGTGTCTCTTTATTTTGTTCCGGCTTTGTGATCCTTTACAATATTCGTGCTTGTGATCGCCACGTCACTTACTCTAATTGTCATATTACAGCGCTTCTTCTGATGGAATATGTATTTTGTGCTTTTATTTCTTACGCTAACCGGTACAAACTTATTCCTGCATTTAATGGCTTTCGAAAAGCTGTATAAATTTCTCGTGGCGTTAACCTCTCCAGCACTCACTATTATTCCTGCGATTTTATGTAAGCATATGGCGTTGCGAAGAAGTGACGAAATCGTTCATCCAGGTCGTAGTTTCATTTTGGTATATGTTTTACGAGGAGCTGCCATATTTATCTTCAGAACAATGCAGTCCAACTTCAAAAGTATTTCGCTTTTTATTAGTCTTTCATTGTTTTCAGCGGTTTTGAATTTTTTGAAAAAAGCCACTCAGCAAATCCGCTACAACGTCTGGAAACGAATAATTCTAAAGTTGCAGGGTTTAGGCTGTTTTCAACGACTACAAGTTTTACCATGGAACACTGCACCTGAAAGACGGTTAAGAGCTGACCTTGAAATTCAAGATATACTTTTGAATACAATACTATTGTTTTGAGCCAAGCCTATCTGATCTTTTACCAGCTTGAAAGTTTCGAAATCAATGTAAGACCTTTGTTATTGGAGTTTGTTAAAAGAATTGCAATTGGCCTTGGGATAGAATTCATCTTTAACTGTCTGTCTAACTTTGTGCAAATGCATTATTACAACATTCCTATTGGCCGCGTGTGGAAGAAATACTGGAAACGACATTTGTTTGCTAATGTAGTTGTTACTTTGACTATTATCGCATACTTCAGCCAAGATTTTAATTCCGTATTTGAAGCACGTTTTCACGAGATTAGAAGATTCTGTGAAATACCTAATCAGAAATTGTTCATTTTTTTAACAACTCAGCGAATAGTCATCGTCAAATACTATCAAGCAATAAAACTTTGGCATTTGTACGATTGCATCTTTGTAAATATGAACATATTTGCATGTTATTTATGTATCGAAAGTGTTGAAAGTTTCTTCTCATTGTTAATTCCTATAGTTGTGTTCTTAATTCATTGTACTCGACGCAACATGACGTCCATCAGCATTTACCCACGCAAATATAATTGATTTAATTTCACAGATCTTTATCAGATAGTCTTAAGCCTAGGCCACACTATCGTCCATATCGACGAAAATCAGAACGAAAACTGCCGCAACGAAAATCGTGAACGAAAACTCCACGAAAATTTCGTATACGTGCATATTAGAAGAGTTGAACTTTTGACCTTTTTCGTCAACGAAAAGGCATACTATTGGCTAATAATATTAGACTTTGTACTCAAACATGGCGGAGTGGCAAGAGGTTTTGATATATCAGGGCTAATAGACTTTCTAAGATGTGTACCAACTTTAGTGATGTGAGGTCTAATTAAATCCAAATGTAGTCAAAATTTGTCGTCGTCATTCGCAAGTATTTTATGTGTCTATTTTCATTGTTCAGCTCTCGTAATTCTTTAATCAAGTTGTTAAATAGTCCAAGACGATAACGTCGTTTATTAATTGGATGAATCCAGTATCGACGTTTGCTGTTGCTTGTTTTCAACTTTAAAAGCAGTAACTTTTTCTTAAGAAGAAGTAATCTTTTTCTTTTAGAGATCGCCATTTTTTCTAATCCGTGGAAAATGCCGCTTGCTTATTGGCCAAAAAAGTTTTGGCTTTGCAAACATGCTTGTAATTTCTCGTCGTGTCTGGCATGCATTTCGTGCACGAATTTTCGTTTCGTTTTTGTTTTCGTCAATATAGACGATAGTGTGGCTCATGCTTAACTCCTTTTAGTTTCTTATCAATACTCGAAATAATATTATAAACAAAGCCGTTTTAAAAATAAACAAAAATGTTATAGATTGAATATAAAAAACAAACTTTTTTATTACAGACATGTTTCGGCAAACTTATGCCATCATCAGTGCAAATGAATATGTCACAGAATGTGATACTTAAATATATAAATAGCGTTAAACGACTTACAGTTAATGGAGATGAGGACAGAATTACAAATATTAACAATATATTTACATATGGAAGTTAGACGGTGATAATGTACTTCCATACAATCTGTTTAATGTACTTCCATATGTTAATTAATTGTAAATATTTTAATACTTAACCACGCTTCGAGCTAGCAACATCAATCAAATCAGGGGCGAAACTAGCACCATTTTAATGGGGCTCAGGGCTCAGGATGAAATTGCCCTGCAAGGACATAAGATGCCCTGCAGATCATATGGAACAGTACTTACACTATATATTTTGTAATACATGTTGTATTTTTGTGGCAGAACGCACTTTAGCGTACTATTAAATCTTTAATGGCAGTTTTCGCATCTTTGCAGTTGCCCAATTTTTTAAAATAATATTTAAGTCAACATTGTCCGTAAGATCTTTTTCACATGCAAGAACGATAAAGTCATTTAATCGCGTATCTTTCATTGTGGATCTCAGGCAGTTTTTGACAATCTTAATCTTGCTGAAACACCTTTCATCTTTTGCCACGGACACTGGAGCGGTCAGCAATAGTTGATACGCCTTGCACACCGTTGGAAAGACGTTTTTGTGTTTGAAAGCAAATAACGCAACGTCTTGAAGGTTACGTTCTGATTTAAGTTGTGATGACACAATATTATTGAAAATTTCCAACTCAGACAGCAGTATTTCTGCATGAAAATCTTTTAACGCCGGTGGAAAAGACTACACATTTCATTAACTGTTTCAGCCATCGGCCTTTCTAGCGGCAGCTGTAAGCTCTCTCCAAGAGGTTTTATTTTGTCGATGCAATCTTTAATGTTATCGGTATACTCGGTAATAAGTGAGTCTAGAACCAAGTTCATTTCCTTTCGGTACAAATCTTTAAATGATGTTTCTGTTGTTATTTCGGAATGCTCGCCAATTCGTTTGGGTGGCTTTAATACCGATCACAATAAATACCAATCACATTTACACATTTGTTAGTTTCGGTTTTGTTTAAATTTATCTTAGTGTTTGTGTTTACTGATGTAAAATATAGTATGGTGTTTCCACTTAAGATATCAAAAACTTCAATAATTTTACTTACGAACACTTCGATGATGATGCATATCTGCTTTTAAAATGTCCGCCAAAACAAGAGGAAATTTATAAGCGGAAAGTTTCCTTGATGCGTACCGTTTACCGTTTACCGTTTACCGTTTTATGTTCTTACCCATGAAGTGCAAATCCAGCTTAAATTAAAACTGAACTATATTTTCAAATTATGTGGATAACTGTTCGCACGTATCCTAGTGTTTAGTTTTGTAATTAGCCCTGCAAATTCAATCGTTGCCCTGCAACGTTAACATTTGGGGGTTAGTCCCCATACCCTTAAATTTCGCCCTGAATCAAATAAGTGTTACGTGAAAATGACTTTGAATGAGCTTCAATATGTTAACCCCCCCCTTTTTTCCAGCTCTCGCCGCCACAACATCATATTCCCGTGACGTGTATTAAACTGCAAATTTCGGTTGTTAGATATTTGTTTATTTTTGTTCTCTTTCCTTTTTAGAATAATATTCTTTCGTTGGATAAACATGTTTGGTACTTCATGTGGACATAGTTCTATGAAAGTGTTCAGTAAATTGTAAAGATTGAAATCTTTGTCGTGACATGTCGTGACAAGGTAAGCACGTGCTATCCAAGGTTCATGTTTACATTAAGTTGAGTCACGTGTGTTATGAAGACCAATGAAATAGCGTTAGAATGCTGTCGTGATATGTTAAGAAGTTCGTGATTTTATTATCATGAGATTTGCATATGCTGACGGGCTTTTGTTGTTTTCATGCTAAGAACTACGGGAAAGCTTCGCAAAACATTAAATTGCGTATGTCTACCTCAGTGCTGTATAACTAAATTTATCAGATTGGGGGCTCTCTTGACGAAGCTGAACCCATAACATTATGACAAATTACCCATTTCAAAGGTAGAAGGGGGGCTCCTCCATCAAGCGCTCCGCCCCCACTTCTACAGCACTGGACTCTACCTGGTTTATGTATCTACATGCTGTTTATTAATCGTCCTTTTTTATATGCGGAATATGTGAAAAAGGCTTTATTCGATCGTCATTTCAATGCTAGAAGAGATAGTTACATTTGTTTTATTTGTGTTTTCACTCTTCAAAACACCTCAAGTGTCTTTTGATGAAGAAACCGAAAATCTAAAAAACCACTGATGTGGACTTTGAGTGTGATAATGCTCAAAATTGGTACATGAACAAAGAAAATACGTACCTCGGTGTTGAAGACAACTATAGTGAAACAAGTGTTCTATTGTCCAGTTTAAGATCTCATAATGCAACCGTCGTCGATATCATGCAAATGACTCGCAGAAAATTCTGTGATTCATTTCGGAATAGTATAATGACAACATTAAATATCACTTTGGCGAGCATCGTACAGACATCTGTTGCCATGGTATTTCTTTACGTCAACATGAATACAACCTACAGTTGTTGGGAATGGCAGAAACGCAGCAACAACAACAACACGCTACCATCATCTGTAAAGTAAAGCGCGTCCGCGTTTTGGGAGATTGCGTGGAATCATTTGAAATTTATATATGGGTTCCACTTACTCTGATGATACTATTTGGTTTAAAGGAGTTCACGACAAAGTTTTTCTCCATTGTTTATATAAATCTTATATCTGGAGAATTACTTCTTATATATCAACTGATTTGTTTTCAATTCAATGTTAAAGATGGTCCAAAACATTACTAGAGAATCCCCATTTACATCTTGTACTTTGCTTCGTTGTTTTATGCGTGCTCAGTGTAGCTTAGAACTTTAGAACCAGTTTCATGCCATGTTTGTTTGGGTGGTCTAAATAAACACATTCGTTATTCACCCTGAATATTTTCTCTGGACAAGCATCGTGGCAAGCAACGTTGTTTTATGCGTGCTCAGTGTTGCTTAGAACTTTAGAACCAGTTTCATGCCATGCTTGTTTGGGTGGTCTAAATAAACACACTCGTTATTCACCCTGGATATTTTCTGTGGACAAGCATCATGGCAAGCAACGTTATTTTAGGCGTGTTCAGTGTTGCTTAAAAACTTTAGAACCAGTTGCATGCTACGTTTGTTTGGATGGTCTTAATAAACACACTCG